AGGAACCCCCTCTAGCCTTAGATTCAAAGTTACAGCAAACAGAGGTAAACACTCTAGCAAAAGGATCGTTTACAAGTTGAGAAAACAAAGATAAACCTAACATGCCTTGCCTGGCTGTTACTTACAAGTCTGAAATATGAGAGACTTGTTCAGAAGATTTGGAAAGCATGGATTGATGTCTGGTCCCTCTTAGTCCCAAGCACGAACAACCCCCAAAACAAAGAGCACAAACAAAAGCCTTCCCCCCACCAAGATTTGAAAGTATCTTGTCCCCTTATTGGTCCTTTGGGTCAGGTGTCAGCCAGGTTACCTGAACTTCTTAACCCTTTACAGGTAAAAGGATTTTGGTGTTTCTGGCCAGGAGGGATTTTATAGTATTGTACACAGGAGGGTTGTTACCCTTCTCTTTATAGTTATGACAGTCATTAATAGGAAAGGTTTTCCCACTAACCTATAATTTGCAATCTATTGATTTCTAAAATAAATAAATGGAGAGAGAGAATTACAATTATTTAAATAGAATAACTACTATGTAATGTACTAAATACAACAGACAAGTGTTAACAGGCTACATAAACTGGAAAGTTATTGCTTTCAATAAGCACACATTTAAAATATTTTCAGACGTGTATTAAAATAATAAGGGAAACTTTACCTGATACTCTTCTGTTAAATCTGTTAATAACTGGAGCTGCAAAATAAAGAAAAAAAATCAGTTAAAGGTGAAATTACTGTTTACTAAAATAAGTCATTAGAATCAAAACTATCACATTGATAAAGCCACTTTATATTTTCTATTTTATATCCCACCCTATTAAAATCTTACATACACTCTTCATCCACTTCCTTATGTACCAGGAGGAGTTTGGATATTTAAAGCTAAGCTAGATTTTTCAAGAATGTTATAGGATAAAAAATAAAACAGCCTTTTAGTACCTGGTATTTTCTTCCCATTACACTAATCAGGTTACCATCTCAACCTTCTTTTTGATAAACAGATTGAGCTCCTTAAATCTCTCACTGTAAAGCATTTCATCAGCCTCTCAAGTCATTTTTATGGCTCTTCCTGCACCATCTCCAAAATTTCAACGTCCTTTTTAGAGTGTGGACATGAGAACTGGATGCAGTATTCAGGGCCGGCTCTGGCATTTTTGCCGCCCCAAGCAAAAAAACAAAAACAAAAACAAACAAACAAAAAAACCTGCGGCGCGGCCGGAGCCAGGGTGCAGGGGGACTCCCTGCGCTGCAGATGTGCCCCGGTTAGAGGGGAGGAGGGGGAGGGAGCCGGGGGGAGAGAGAAGGGGGCGGCCAGGGCTTCAGCAGGGCACTGCCACGTGGCCCCAACCGCCGCGCCACCTGCCGGGAGGGCTCCGCGCCGCTCCGGTCAGCTGGGAGGGAAAGACACGGGCTGCCCTGCCGGGCTTGCTGCAGGGCGCTCCCCTCCTCCGCACCGCCGCCCCCTACAGGGTGGCCAGAGCGAAACAACAACAACAACAACAACAACAAAAACCAGCCGTGCCGCCCTAGGATTGGGCGGAATGCCACCTCGTACAATCTGCCACCCCAAGCACGAGCTTTCTCGGCTGGTGCCTGGAGCCAGCCCTGGCAGTATTCCAGTATCAGTCTCACCAAGTCTGGATACAGAGGTAAAATCACTTCCTTACTCCCCTGTTCATCCATCCAAAGACTGAGTTAGCCTTTTTGCCACAGCATCGCACTGGGGATTTATGTTCAGTTCAGTTGTTTGTCAACTTTGACCAAGAGATCTTTTTCAGTCTCTGCTTTCCAGGATACAGTCCTCATTTTGTAGGTATGGCATGCACTCTTTAATCCTAGATTATGACCTTGCATTTGGCTATATTCAAACACATTCTGTTTGAATGGGCCCAGGTGAATTAGTGATCCAGATTGTTCTGTATAGCTGTCCTGCCATCATTTGCCACTATGTGTTCTCCACAATTTACCATCAATGGCTTTATATTTACTGCAGATCATTGAGGAAATATTGAATAGCATCACATATGGAATCAATCCCTGCAGAGCCCCACTCAAAATACCCCCATTTCATGATTCCCTATTGACAACTACTTTTTGAGAAGTAATAACTTTATTAGCAAGCCAGAGATCTTCTCTGCCAACTTTTAGGAATCAGGTGCAAGTTATCTTGGTCTGCTGTTTTTTCATTTTTTGTTTTATCCCTAGCAGATGCTGTTCAATACCCCCTTCATTACTAACAGACTGGAAAGTAGTTCCTCCTCATGTGATATGAATATATCATCCTGCTTCTTTCCAAATACAGAGCAGAAATATTTATTGAAAACTTCCGTCTTTTCTGCATCTGCACAGATAACGTTATTTAAATGAAGAGTGGAGCAACCAAAAGCAGAAAGATAAAGCTGAGTGGTGCTGTTGAAGACAAATAATGGCACTAGGGCCACTCTTTCTGCCTATGTGGAAGAAAGAATGGCAGCACAAAAAGAATCAAAGCAAAACCTCACAGTCTCTTTCCAAGGAGAGAAAAGTGAAACTACGCCATCAAAACTACAGACAAGCCCAACCAACAGCTAGAATGGCTACACTGGCAGACTACCATAAAGAACAATGTGCAGTGCTGACTCAAGACACACCAGAGAATCACAGCCCCATGGGGAAAACAATCTTTCAAGTGGAAGAAAGAACAGACAACAACAACAACAACAACTAGGGAGGAATGAAAAGCATTAGAGACTGAGACGTGGGACGGACCAGGGAAGTGCAGGGGCCTGAGAATTATGTATTTATTTTGCTGAAGGGAAAGAAGAAATAAAGCAAGAAACCTGGGATTTGGATCAGATTTATCTCTGTTTCCACATGTACATAAAAGTATCAAAAGATGGAGTTCTCTCCAAGAACACTCTACGATATCGAGCACACATGAACCACTCATAGGAGTGTCATAGGGGCTTTGTCAAATAGAGTTTTCCACTCAATTTTTTATTAAAAATTTCCTTTGTTTTTAATCTTTTATAAGAACGCTGCAATGGTAATTTGATCATGGACCTTTAGAGGGGAGTGTACCAACATACACAATTTGTATGCCATATATCAAGGTTGATAGAGCAAAGCATAAAAGCACTTTTTGCTACTTCCTTACAGAGATATCCACTATATTAGGAGCACAATTTGTGCCCCACTCATGTAACGTGCACTGGCTGTAAATACCAAGGCATCATCTAAGACCTGCACTATTACTTTTATATTTTGGAGCACAGTAGATCTAGGACTTTTAAATGCTACCCGTTGGAAATGCTGAATTGTACACACAAATGCAACTCAGGAGTTTATGGCACCTTTTCACAAATTTACTCCAGGGATGCAGTAATTTTAACTCTAATGCAGTTCATCCTCAAGACAATCAATCATCACATGAATATAAGAGCAAATGAAAAAACTGCCCCTTCACTTCCATGGATGCAGAGTCTGAAGTGTGAAATTTGCTTAAAATTTTTCAAAAGCTATCGTATTTAGGCATGTTAACATTCCAGAATTGCACCACAAATGAAATATCTACAATATTACACAGCTACTGTTATTACCAGAACAACTCAGTAACATAAAAAAACGACAAAGAGAGACTATTACTAGAAGCCATAACATGAAAGTGCTGGTACGTTAAAAACCCACCATATTTTACTACACACTAACTCTCCGAATCACCATAGGGTAACAGAATTTTCTGCTGAAGTACAATTTCATCTCATGACTGAGAAATTCAATTTTTTCTTCTAACATAGCTGGGATTGATATGGGATTGATAAAGTTTTTTGCCTTTCAGGCTTCTGTAAGCAGTAAATACAACATCTGAAGAGGCTCGTAGAAGGCAGACAATATGGATAGTGAGCGATCAGCTGTTGTGACCTGCACAGAAAGTGCCATGTTTGTCTTTCTCCCAGAGGACAGAAGCGAAGGTTAAAGGACTGGAGAACTATGTATCAACCCTGCGTTGCATCAGAAAAAAGGAAGAGTTTCTGGACAGAAGTCAGCGTTTGGTACTGCAGGCACAGCAGGCTGAAGAACCAGAGAGGGCAGTGCAGAACAGGGAAGAAAATTAGCAGGAGGTGACCTCCAGAAGAAGAAAGAGGAGAACCCGTGTACCCCCAATACAGATAGAGGTAAGAAGCCGTTTTCAGGCTCTCTGCACAGGTACTACGGCAGAGAATTGTTTGGAAGAGTCATCTGAGGGAAAAGATCAGAAGGAGACCCCATTGGCCAGAAGGCATGGGATGCATTGTCCTAGGAATGGAGGTTCCACCACCACCACTCCCAAGAGGAGGAGACAGGTGGTGGTGGTCAGGGATTCCCTTCTAAGGAGGGATAGCTCAGTGGTTTGAGCATTGGCCTGCTAAACCCAGGGTTGTGAGTTCAATCCTTGAGGGGGCCACTTAGGGATCTGGGGCAAAATCAGTACGTGGTCCTGCTAGTGAAGGCAGGGGGCTGGACTCGATGACCTCTCGGGGTCCCTTCCAGTTCTATGAGATAGGGATATCTCCATATATTATATTAATATTAAGGAGGACTGAGTCATCCATCTGCCAGCCAGACTGGGAAACTTGAGAAGTGTCTGCTGCTTGCCTGGAGCTAGAATTCAGGATGTGATGGAGTGTCTGCCAAGACTGATAAAGCCCTCGAACCACTATCCCTTCCTACTTCTCCATGTGGGCACTAACGATACTGCCAAGAATGACCTTGAGCGGGTCACTGCAGACTATGTGGCTCTGGGAAAAAGGATAAAGGAATTTGATGTGCAAGTCATGTTCTCGTCCATCCTCCCTGATGAAGGAAAAGGCCCAGATAGGGACCATTGAATTGTGGAGGTAAATGCGTGGTTACGCAAGTGGTGTCAGAGAGAGGGATTTGGATTCTTCGACCACTGGATGTTGTTCCAGGAAGAAGGATTGCTATGAAGAGATGGGATCCAACTAATGAAGAGAGGGAAGAGCATCTTTGCAGGCAGGCTTGCCAACCTAGCGAGGAGGGCTTTAAACTAGGTTTGTCGGGGGATGGAGACCTAAGCTCTGAGGTAAGTGGAATACCGGGAGGAAACACAAGGAGGAGAGTGCAACAGGGGAGGACTCCTGATTCACACTGAGAAAGTAGGGCAATCAGCTAGTTATCTTAGGTGCCTGTACACGAACGCAAGAAGTCTGGGAAACAAGCAGGAAGAACTGAAAGTCCTGGCACAGTCAAGGACCTATGATGTGACTGGAATAACAGACTTGGTGGGGTAACTCACATGGGGTAACTTGTCATGGATGGGTATAAACTGTTCAGGAAGGACAGGTGGGGGAGAAAAGGTGGGTGAGTTTCACTGTAAGTAAGAGAGCGGTATGACTGCTCAGAGCTCCGGTATGAAGCTGGAGAAATGCCTGTTGAGAGTCTTTGGGTTAAGTTTAGAGGCGAGAGCTGCCAGGGTGTTGTCGTGTTGGACATCTGCTATAGACCACTGGACCAGGAGGATGAGGTAGACGACGATCGGGGGAGATCCCGGATGATTGGAAAAAGGCAAATATAGTGCCCATCTTTTAAAAAGGGAAGAAGGAGAATTATGATATGATTGAAATAACAGAGACTTGGTAGGGTAACTCACATGATTGGAGCACTATCATGGATGTGTATAAATTGTTCAGGAAGGACGGGTGGGGGAGAAAAGATGGTGGAGTTGCACTGTATGTAAGAGAGCAGTATGACTGCATTGGTTGGGTCTCACGGTTCTGGGTCTTGATATTCAGTACCAAGCTCGATACCGGAACTAGGGTCCTGCTCCGAGAGGAGAAGTGGGGGTGCTCTAGATTCCGATACGGAATAAGACCTTCTGGAATGTGTCCCCGGGATTGGAGGAAAAGCCCAAGGGTTCCAGAACAGTCACTGTGCTGGCACCTGCCACAGTGCAGGTGGCCAAGCCTTGCAGGTGGGATGCCCTGGCTTGGGTCTGTCATCGGGGGATGTCAGCTAGAGTGTTGATGCTGGCTCTTGCAGGAGACATACAACTCTGCCTCTGAGGATTCCCTTTTAGAAGATCAGGGAGGAGCGGTGCTAGCAAACAGTGCCAGGAGGGAGGGGACCGGGGCTATGCCATCATGACCGGTTTCCCTTTTGACGACTCTCTTGTAGTGGACAGTCCATTGGTGCCAGACTAAATGGTGCCTGTTCCGGGGTTGGAGTCAATGGCACCAGATGAGTTGCAGGAGCCTCAGAGTGGTGCAACATGGGTTGCACTCTGCTACCATCTCTTTGCCCCGCAGACCTCTGAGTTGGGGATCACTTTCTGTCCATCTTCTTCTGCTTCTTTCTCGGCACCAGTGGAGAACAGTGCTGAGAGTCCCTTACCATAGTCGTCATCTTCTGCACCAGGGATGATGGACGGTGCCAGGAGTCCTGAGAAGCAGAAGGAGCATTCTTTTCCGGTGCTGGAGATGTGAAGCAGCGTTGACTCTCCTAAGAGAAGATGGAGTGACTTGGCACCAAGGGATAATGAAGTGCTGCCTCCATGAGGAGATCTTGCAGCGCTTCCACATGTGAGATTCCCCAGGCACTTAGTCAGCTAGAATGGGGGTCACTGAGACTTGTGGCATGAAGCACAAGACAAACTCTGGAGACTGAGGCATCCCTGGTGCCCAGAGGGACTTACCCCGCTGAGCGGGGTTTGCTATCCTAACTGTCTTAACAACTGAAATGTAACGACTACAAATAGAGATGACTATACAAAATAAAAGAATCCAAGTCCACTGAAGGAGTATATGTGAAACACAAGGACAAACTGTAGTTCCAGCAACCCTCATTGGAAGTAAGAAGGAGCTGAGGGGGTGGCGGGTCGTCAGGACCCTTTCTATCAGCACTATGACCATGCGACTCCAGGGTGCACCAGAGTCAGTGTGACAGATACCACTGAGGGGAAAACTTTCTGGTGGCAGAGCTCGGGGCAAGCACACACCTACATTGGAATGGACATGGGCAAGCACTTGGAGAACAAGAATGTTCTTTGCTTCAGAAGAGCAAGGTCCATCCGCAGAGACCAAAAACGGATTACGAACAAATAATAGCAAATCCCTTCGGATTTTAAAATTTTCAAATCGCATTTTAAAATTTTCATTCAGATCGTTTAGGAACTTTTGCATTGCTTTCATCGAGGTTTCATCTGTAACAACATCACTCAATGTGGGAAAGTGCAACATCTTTTCTGTTAAGTCTGTCTGAAAGATTGCAAGATTCCTCTGATAGACATACACTTTTTCAGACAGATCCCCAATACAGCTTGCACGGCCTTGGAGCTGCAAATTGAGGGAATTCAAGTGATCAGTAGTATCGCACTGAAAAGATACCTGTGACATAGAAGGGACATCAAAAGATACCTGTGACATAGAAGGGACATCAAAAGATACCTGTGACATAGAAGGGACATCTAGGAACTCACAAGCCTTATTGGTCTTGTGGTTTGAAATAAATTTTATTATTTCTTTTTAAAGTGCACAAAATATCTCTAACACGTACCCCCTACTTAACCAGCAAATATCATTGTGCTGCAACAGGTCCCTATATTTGGCTGAAATGTCTTATAAAAGAGCTTTAAAAAGACGATGTTGCAAGCTAGAAGTTGAGCATATGTAGTTCACTAATCTCTTCACAACATCCTTTTTTTTTTTTTCAAGTCCCCAGACAACTTACCATACAGGACTGCGTCTGGTGAATGATGCAGTGAAGTGTATTTAATGAAGGATATATCGCTGCACGACTTGAAGCAAAGCCCTTCTCCTTCCCTCTCATGGAGGGACCTCTGTCTGTAACAAGCAAGTTTACTTTCTGCAGATCTAAACCATTTCCCCCTCTCCCCTCCCTCCCCCCAAAAAGCCTCTCTCATGTGGTGTAGGTTTCTAATGATATTAAGCACAAAAATTCTTCCTTGAAAATTTCACCATCATAAAATCTAACAAACAGCGATAGCTGGCCAGTGTCATTTAAATCTCTTGATTTGTCCACTGCAAGAGACATGTATTTGGTGTTTTTTAAATCAGAAAGCAGTGCTGACAGACAATCCTCATAAATTACCTCCAATCTTTGCACTGCCATAGAATCAGACAGGAGAACTTGCTTCACATGGTTCACAACGTCATCTTTGTTTTTATCTCTGGCAAAAAGCTCCTCCAGCATTTCCAACGTGCACTCTTTCACAAGCTCGGCATCTAGAACAGGCTTTTTCTTTTTAGCTAGTACTCACGTTATCCGAAGAGAGGCAGCTGTTGCTTTTTCCTGCACTGTTGCTGATGTTGTGACAATGACATTTGAAGTGTGATATGGAGACTTCAAGATCTTCAATTTTGTCACATCTTACAACACTGCCAGGAGGATAGGCCGTGTTGAAATTTGTTTACTTTGATTCAAAGTGGTACCCGCCTGTAAGGTTGTCACTGCAAGGCGCAATAGTTTGGCATATAAAGGAGGTATAAAAAGAAAATCCTCTGTCCAGTTTGGGTTAAAATCTCAGTCTTTGCTGTCGACTTTGGATGTTTACTCCCACTCATTCATTTTTGGCTCCGTTTCCATCACTAACAAAAAAGTGGGTGGCGTCCTAGCTCAATTGTAGCTGATGCCATTGTGAGAACTTAAGAGCCAGTCAGTTACTTACTAAAGAAGCCATAGGCAAATGATAGGCAGCACATCACTGTTTGTGAATTTAATTATAAACATTATTTATATTTATATGCGAGCTGGCAGGCCACACAGGAAGCCTTGGCAGGCCACATTTGCCCCCAGGCCACCTTTTGCGCATCACTGATGTAGACCCTGCTGGAGTGCTTGTTTGTTTGAAACTACTATTGTTAAAATGCACTAGGGAACCTATAGAGGACACCAGCAGGATCGACATGGACCAATTAATGTGCAACACACGTGATTTCAGAAATCACATCCCTGCACAGAGCAATAGCCCCCTCCCTGTAGAAAAGCCCTAAAATTCTACCTAACTTCAGTGGACTATTGCTCAGTCACACTGTACTGTCAGATCTATTGGGTTCAGAGTTAATTATAAACTCAGGAAAAAGATGATATGCATGGCTGTGGACACCTCTATGAAATGGTGTGTTCAGTGCACAGTGGGGGTAAAGAAAATAACCAAGATGTTAGCATAGATGTAATCACTTTGAATATTGAGTCCACTTTTTGTCATGCTCTCAAAAGGGATACAGCAGAGAAATCAAGAGCAATACAAGGAGATATTAAAATCTTACTCTTCCTTTCCAAAACTATCAATGGTAAAATGAGAGAAGATTAATACATGGCATAAAGAAGCATCTTTGACCAGATTCCATAGATCACAGTTCCTCAAAAGGAGGACTTAAAGGAGCAGCTCTACTGTAATGTTCTTCAAGGCAGAGGAAAGGTTATAGATAGCAGTCACATTAGTAAGAAAAGGCATGATGCCAAAAATAATGTTTGATGTTACTGCCACTTAGCTGAGCAAGAATATTAATCGCTTATAAATTAATTAACTCAGGTTGGACAATCTTTCCCCCCCACATAACAAGATCTACTTGCCTGTAAACAAAGTTTTTAAGATTATCTGACAGAGTCAGATGTATAAATAAAAGAAGTGCTTGCATATTCTGACTACTGAGGTTCACAAAAACATGGTTTAAATCAGACACAATAAGAAACACTACTGGCCAAAAGCCGTACCATGCTATGAGCTTGTCAGCTCTCACAAGCTGACTCACAGAAGTGGGCAGACAATTCAGCAGGTGGCACTTTCCCCTCAATCAGTAACTAACAAGATCTTCCTCCACTTCCTCTTCTCTAATCAGGTCTACCACAAACACAGACCTTTGGATCCTTTTACTGACTTCCTCTTGCATGTTAAGTTCAAGCTCACTCTGCTTTCAAGATTCTTCAAAACCCACTCCCACTTAACCTTATTATTTCATCATATTGACTCCCTTTTTGCGGCAGAGAGTAGCCTGTCGTAGCCAATCAACGCAGGGAATTTCATAATTGAGAACACTGTGCAGCATCCTGCTCTGATTATCTCAGTTCCATTTCAGTTCTGTAGTAAACACACTGTAATAAGTTTTGTAAAATGAATTAAGTCAGTCATATGAGACCGCCCTACAATACCAGACTATTGCAGTCTTTGCTGAGAAGCAGAGAGGGACTACCATATTTGTGTGGCAAAATACAGCATTTGTGGAGAAGCAAAGTGTAAATAAGCAATACGATGACTATATAAAACAACAAATAGCAACATAATTGCTCTGGGGCACAATGTGAGCAGGATCCCATTGTTCCAAACCCTTAAAACCCACCAAAGTATATAATGGGGCATCTTTAGGGCTATTGAAAATCAGATAAATATTCGGCTTCAGTATCCATCTTTAACTTCAACAAGCTTATCTAGTAGCCAAGGCCAAAATCCTCAGCCCTGCACCATCTGGATTCAGGCCAAAAGGCACAACAGAAACAGCATGAGGGCTGTTGATGGATTATCTCTTGAGGTGAATGAAGGGCAGATATCCATTCTCATTCTCCTGGAACCTCCAGACAGGTGATTATGAGTTTCTGTCCCATCTCTGGGAGATGGCAGGGTTCCAGGGAACAAGATCAAATGGAGTGTGTACTGTCTGGAGACATTCAAAAAGTAGTGCTGGGAAAACTATACTTCCACCCCCACATGCCTCACTTGCAGAGTCCCACGGGCTAAGTTCCCTGTAAGCTGTGCAGTCACGCAGCAGCCATCTTAGCACCGCGCAGGTACTCAGAGAACCCGCCCGGGGACCTGCCATGGCAGGGCTGCCCCTCCCCTGGCCCAAACCTAGCCCATCCCCAACTCTGCCGCATCTGGGGCAGCCCTCCCCCAGCCCGAACCCAACCCCAGCCTGGACCTGCTGGGGGAGGGGCGCCTATCCTGCGGCCCCAGCCCCGCAGCTGCCGCGGCGGGGAGAGCCACCTCTCCCCGCCAGCCCAGGTGCTGCTGCAGGGAGAGAGAGGGGGGGGGGGGGGGAGAGTCCTCTCTCCCCACCATAGCCCAGAGCACCCCTCCTGCATCCTAAACCTCTAATTCCCAGCCCCACCCCAGAGCCCGCACCCCCAGCTGGAGCCCTCACCCCTGCACTCAACCCTCGGCCCCAGCCCTGAGCCCCGGCCCCACCCCAGAGCCTGCACCTCTACCGGAACCCTCACACCCCTGCATCCCAACCCTCTGCATCAGCCCTAAGCCCCCTCTCACACCCCGAACCCCTCGGCCCCCACCACATGAATTTTGTTATGTGCACTAATATGAAGGTGATGTGTCACACATCACCTCCATATTGGTGCACATAACAAAATTCATTCCGCACATGGGTGGGAAAAATTAGAGGGAACACTGCCCACAAGGTTCAATTCTCTCTTTAGTCTTATTCAACATTTGCAGGCAGCCATTAGGAGAACTGAGGAGATATCACTGATTCAAATGCCTTATCACCACAACATTACTTTCTACAAGCTAGCTATGTGCTTGTCTTAAATCAGAAGGCTGAAGCTAAACCCAAGTAAAACAGAAGTTATGCTGATTGTCAGAGGAAAACACTTCAAAAAAATTGATAGCCATGGTTTAGTGCACTCCTCTGCCTAAAGATATGTATTCACAATTGGTCACGTCAGTCCACAGCTTAGGAGAGCTCCTGGATTCCTTCCTCATGTTAAGCTCACATATAGCAGTGTCCACAAATAACATATCCTACCTTCTACAGCTGGAAAGGAAAGAACATCCCCATCCTGGCAGATGATGACCTAGCCTCAGCAAGTAATACTCACCTTCATTATCCTCCTAACTGAACTATAGCAATGCAACTTACTTGGGCACGAAATGATCAGCCATCAGCAAACTAACTTGAGCACAATGCAGCAGCATGCCTCCTCAGCACTAGCCATATTAAAACCTGTCGTCCACTTGCTACACTGGCTTCCCATACAATAATGTGCCAAATTCAAAGTTTTGGACTTATCTTCAAGGAGTTCAGTCATCTGGGTCTGGCAGGGCTCAAACCGGGAAAAAACAGGTGCGGTTGTGATGTTCCCAGACCAGGTGCCAGCTCATGCCAAGGCCCCTAGGCCTCATGAACATTGACAAATGCATAGCTGGAAACCAGTCTGGCTCACCTGTGTATTAGCATTGTTAAAACAAATGTTAAATTGATAAGAATGTGTTTAGTCTTGATGAAATGCTTGTAGGATGCTGCATGTTACATCTGTAGCCCATGGTATAAAGTTATATTGAGTGTTTGCATTGTAACTGTACATTGTTTCTGTATGGTTTAGCTCAGCAAACAGGAAAGAAGCATTCATGTAAAGAAGCCCCATTGAAAGCAAATGAGTTACTGTGAAACATCAAAGAACCAAGACTTTGTTGATTACTCTCCCAAACACACACCCATGAAGAGGAGACACTTGTTCCATTAGTTTGAACTCTGGGGGAAGGGAACCAGAAGATACTGTATCACTGTGCTGCTTGAAATTTGGAGAGGTCAATATTTCTAAGCTGAAGCAAGAGATCCTCAACCTGCTTAAAGGTTAGTCCTATTCTATTACAATGGTGGGAACTTGGTGTAAATGGCTGAGCTGAGTTTGTGCATTATTAATCAAACTGTTACATTTCTGATTCATAGAATATCAGGGTTGGAAGGGACCTCAGGAGGTATCTAGTCCAACCCCCTGCTCAAAGCAGGACCAATCCCCAGACAGAGTTTTGCCTCAGATTCCTAAATGGCCCCCCTCAAGGATTGAGCTCACAACCCTGGGTTTAGCAGGCCAATGCTCAAACC